TGTGTGTGTGTGTGTGTGTGTGTGTGTGTGTGTGTGTGTGTGTGTGTGTGTGTGTGAAGGGAGAGGTTAAGGGGCTAGGGAGGGCAGGACATAAGGAAGCTACTGATGAGCTTAGTATTTATTTCTATTACCAAAAAGATCTAACCCCTTTTATTAGAAAGTAGTCCAAAGGGGTGAAAATCATCTGGAGCACAGTAAAGGACTCTGCAACTTAATTAGGTCGACAAGAGGCAACATAATGTTTTGAAAGTACATGTAATTGGGATTTGGAAAACCTGGGTTTAAATCCAAGTCACAAATGACAAATCCAAAATGACATTTTCTATGTGACCTTGGACAAGGTACTTTACCTAACTAGACCTTATCATTTGCAAAATTAAGAAGTCATATAATTATAGGGTCACAGATCTAAAGACAGAAGAGGCCATCTAGTCACCTCCCTCATTTGACAGATGAGGGAACTAAGGATATACTAGCTAACCTCTAGCTTTAACATGCTATGATTCCATAACTTTGAAACCAAACTAGCAAAGTAACTAGTACTCAGTTTGCTCAAATATTTCCAGATCCTAAATTTCTAAATATTCATATCACAGCATCATCATCTTCCTTATGACTCATTCACATTTTCTCTTCCATACCCAGGTCTGAAACTAATTCAATAGAATTCAAAAGTTTATTAAGCTTCCACTACATCCAGACCATGTTACTATCACTAACAAAGGCTTTCTTATTCTTTTTTTGAAGGTCTTCATCCCTAAACTTAAAAGGAGACAATCCAGTAGGAGAATGAACATTTGTTCAAATATTAAAAAATAAATTAGAATAAGATTCACCTGTAGGAGAGGTAAAACTAAGAGGAATTAAACATTCAGAGAAGGAATGATTATTTATAGCAGCTGATCTGGGCCTTGGAGAAGAATTTCAAGAGGTAGAGATGGAGACTAAGTCAATTCTGAGCAAGAGGGACATGGAGGGCAGAGAAGAAATGATGAAGTCTGGGTTTGTCTGATACAGTCTGTCAAGGAGAAGAGAGTTAAATAATGCTGAAAAAGGTAGGGTGGAGATGGACTAAAGGGGGACTTTGGCTGTCAATAAAAGAGTTTATATTTTATTCAGTAGGCAATAAGGAGTTGCTCAGTTTTTTTGTGGGGGAGTAATGGGAGGGAGCAGAATAATAATTCAATCAGCTCTGTGAATGTGTAAGATTATTTTGGCAGTTGAGGGAAGCCCGAGAGTTATGAAGTCTGGGAGGCTATTCCAGCAGTTGGAGGGATCAAAGTTCAATTTCAGACTTAAAAGGATTAATTGGCTATATACCTAGAACTCTTCTCCATAACTTTTTCTGCCATTTACCCTCAGGCAAGGAGATCAGAGAATTTGACTAGGACAGACATATCAAGAGATGTGTTTTCTTAGTGAAGGTCAAGGCACCACTGTTTAAGAGAGGGTTCCATCGTACCTTTAGATAAATGAAGGGATTGAACTAGATAATCTCGAATGTTCAGGAGTAAATTTGTGGTCCTACTCTGGCACCATGCCAGCAGTAATGGACCAAACTTATCTGTCATGGATCTATCTCATAGGTTATTAGTCCAATGCTTCTGGGATCCCCAGAAACTTTTATACAACCACTATGTGGGTACCTAAACTGAGGGAGTATCTTGCTAGTGCAAAGTCACAGAAACAGAACATTTCATCTGAACGTTAGTGACTGATACTCAAAATACTCAACTGAATCCAGGATATTATCAATTTGGATGTTCCCTCCATTCATATAGATTCCAACCCATTCAACCCTACCCATCCCGGGTGACTCTTGCCCATGCCCTCCAACCAGTCAAGGTCATCCATAGACATGGACTTAATACTCCAGAGGCCCTCCTCATTTTCTCTTGACATTTCAAGGATAACAGTGGAACAGCTTCTTTTTCACTCAGACATCTTTTAATCTAGAGTTCCTTAAAGTTTCTTGTTGGTTACATATTGCTGGCTGCTCACCCCAAACAATTGCCTCTCCATTGCCTTCTGTCTGCTACTTATTTTTAGTCTGGGTTTTTTTCCCCCAAAGACTTGCAGCCACAGCACAGGAACAGAATATTGGTACTAAAAAGTTGGGCCCTTAATTCTTGGGCAAGATGTGAAATCGAAGGACCTTTGCAACTTCCCCATTCTTCTTCTCTTGTTTAATTTTTGAACCTAATTTGCTATGAGCAACGATCTATAAAAAAGCTAGAAACTTTCCCACAATGAGACTCCCTAGTAACGTTTCAACCAGACTGTCTCGGCTGAAGCTACTTTGACAATCCCCAACTATGAAGAACGTACTTCTCCAAACCCCACCAATGTACACACCCACTTCCTAAAGTTCTAATCTCCTCCTTGTTGCCAAGCATTACTGGAGAAAATTGCAAAACTATGATGAGTAGGTGTGTAATATGATTTCATGCCCTATGCCAAGTGGGCAGCATGGTGTGTTGGACAGTGATGGGCCTCAATGCCATATGGACAAGTTCAAATGCCACCTCCCATACACACTAATTGTGCAACCCTAGGCAAGTCACCACCTCTCAGTGGTCTAAAATGCTCTTTAAAAATATAAAGAGAGAATTGCTGACCTGGATTATCAGAAGTAGTTTCCTCATTGGGGAGTTCCCTATATCAATAAAATCATAGGTCCTTCCTTTATAACTGAGTTGAGTTCCCACTGCTGCTCAGTGGACCTGTTTTATCTTCTCTTGATTTCCTATCAAATCGATAGCAGGGGACTAAAGAGCCTTCTTTCAGCCTACCATCCTTTTGAAGTATCACGTAATTTCTTGCCTTATCATTACCAAATTGCATGAAAGAAGAATTTACACTCACTGCCACCACGTCCTCATTACCCACTTATTCCTCAGCCATTTGCCATCTGGCTTCCTCTCTCACTGTTCCACTGAAACTGTTCCCTTTAACAGCAGCAATGACTTCCTTAATATCAAAGACAACGCCTTTCTCCCCCTCAGTCCTCATCCTCCTTGATCTCCCATTCTACTGGGGATGTGTAAGTGCTTAAGAGATGTAGAAAAGCTATATAAAGGAACCAACCTCATCCCATGTGACACTCCGTCTCAGTCTCTGTGTTTCTCTACTGGCTATCCTCCATGCCTTATCACCTCTACCTCTGAGTCCCTTTCTTCCTTAAAGACACAGCTCTCAACTGCTAGTGTCCTCCCTCCCAAACTACCATGTATTTAACCCATATATGTTTGTATTTAATAACTTGATATTTATGTTGTGTATATTTTTATACGTTCTTGTCTCCTTCATTAGAATGTAAGCTGCTTGTAACTAGGGATTGCTTCATGATTTGTGCTTCTATGCCCAGCACTTGGCACAGTACTTGGCATGTAGTAGGAACTTAACAAACACTTGGTAACTACTTGATCAGACTATTATCTATAATTAGGAGCTTCTCTATATTTAATGTACTGAAAGTACTGGGTGTATGAAGACTGGAGAAGAGAGGACTTGGGAAGACAGTTGGCAAGTATTTGAAGGATTTTCTTGTAGAAGAAGGAATAGACTTTTTCCTGCTTGATCCCAGAAGACAGAATTAGGAACAATGGGTGGAAATTTCTGAGAAGTAGATTTGGGCTTGATGTAAGACTTCCTAAGAATTAGAGCTATCCAAAGGTGGGATAGGTGATTCAGAAGGTAGCAGGTTTCCCTTCATTGAAGGTCTGTGAGTAAGAGCTAGATAATCACTTGTCAGGTATGTCGTAGAAGGAAATATTGTTCAGGTATTAGTTGAACAAGTTGGGTTTGGGGGTCTCTTCCAACTCTGAGATTGTCTGATAGGGGTTTGCTCATTATTTGGATGCACAGTCCAGACATCTGTCGCTTCTGCCCTGCTGGTGGGTGAGTGAACTAAGTGCTGAGCTATCCTCAGTTAACATGCCATAGTAAACCAAATAGGTTTTTTGTTTGTTTGATTAATAGTCAACAGACAATAAATAAAAAGCACAATGGGACTTTATATTCTCTACACATTTCAGTCAACTACATGATAGTAAAGATGTAGTCTATTTTGGAATATTGCTTATGAGGGCCTAGCTCTTCCTTTCTTATGCTCACATTGAGAATGATCTTTGTACGTGTATATAGATTATTTTGATAAAAATTTTATGTAGTTGAGAAAGTAAGAGTGTGGCTCAGTTGTCGTTGATGTTCTCTTGCCTATATTTTTGGGGTAAGAAGTTCCAAGATTTTTTCCCCGTGCCTTTGGTATCTTGTTCTCCTTTACATACTTAGAGAATTGTTTCTCTTTCACCATGGACCTCCTCTGTGCCTCCTTTGCTGTTTTTCACATGTGACATTTTTATCTTCGGTCTCTGGGGTTTTGCTCAGACTTTCACCAATACCTAGAATGTACTCTCATCATCGCTACACTTTAGAATATCTAATGTCCTTCAATGCTCAGTTCAACTGCCCTCTCCTAAATGAGCTCTTTCCTGATTCCTCAAACACTAGTTTCTCCCTCCATAAATGCCATGTATGTATTTTGAACATACTTATTTATGTACTATCTACATAAATCTCTCCTGCTATGCCATAATCTCCTTGAGGGCAACAAATCACCAAGCATCTATTAAACACTTATTATGTGCCAGGTGTTGTGTTAAGTGCTAGGGATACAAGGGCAGGGCCATTTCATTTGAATCTTTGAATCTTAGCCCAATGCCTAATAGCTGTAAATGCTTCATAAGTATTTATTGATTGACTAAGAAAATCTGATATCATACACATTACTAAGAATAGTGATGGTCTTCTGACTGGGTCAGTTTAAATATGACTCCTAGCAATTCAATTTAGTAAACACTCATTAAGCACCTACCATCTGCAAAACATTGTGCTAGATGCTAAGGACGCAAAGAGAATCTGGGCCCTTCAGGACCTTACATATTACTCGGCCTGATGGTTGAAAGGTACTGAAGTAAGAATATTTAATTGTTCAGACGACCACTGTGGGGTTGAAACAGTCTCTAATAGAATATTAAAGTCCTCTAAGCTTTATTTATAACCCCAGTCTGCAAAAGGAGATTGAAAACATAAATATCAACTTCTTAGAAAAGCATATTGCACGTGATTAATTTTTAATGAACAAATTAAAAATAAAAAATTGTATTTTTAATTAAATCCTACAGCTATATTTAAGTATTAAATGATGTGATAGCTTTAAATTGGGACACAGCTTATTTTTACCAAACATACATTTATCAAGAAAAACAAAATGCAAAATGGATTTAGGGAAAAAATATTTTTTTTCTGAAGACACTACAACATTTTTACTTATTGGCTTTATTATATGTCACTAATACATGGTTTAATCAGAGTAAGCTCCCATAAAGCAAAGAATGAATTTGAAAGTTTTGCTTTAATGTTAATTTAATTGAATTCTACCAAAACAATGGAGTTTCTGTGGAATGCTGAATAGATTTAAGCTTCTTTCTTTCCTCATTGTGGCAGTCTCCACACCTTTTTTCTATTTATAAAGCAATTCTGTTAAGCAAAGCATTGTGGCAGTCCAGAGAGTGAAACATCATCAAGCAACAACAAAAATCAAAACTTGGAAAAAAACGTTAGCAGAAACCCATTTTGTATTGTGCTAATTGCCTTCAATTGATGCAACTCTAAAACCAAAACAAATTACAATCTGGAGAAATGTTTCTTCCCTAGAAGCAGAAATGCTAAACGTTCAGGTTATATATGTTCCATATTACTGTAGCTTATATACTCTATGCACATACATATATTTATGCTTGGACTCATTTCTTCCTTACCTTGGCTCTTGAAGAGCTGACATTTTCCATATTCTCAATGCTGCAGATACAGTTCTGTGAAACCTTTCGGCAGGCCACTCTGATATAGTCCCAGAAGCTACGAGGGCTTTCATAGCCAAACCAGGTTACTTGACCTTCAGAAGACAAATTACAATATGGAGGAGGGGAGGAAAGGTAAAATAAAAACTAGATAGGAAAGTTCAGAATGCTATAATTCCTAAATTCCATAAGCTGAAGAGAAATGAGCTGGAGGAGCAGTTGAACTGAGGATCAGGAGACCTGGTTTTGCCAGCGACCTTCAGGCATGTCATTTAACTTTTCCGTGCCTCAGTTTCCTCATTTCAAATGAGGAATTGGACTAGATTATTTTCAATATCTACTTGAGCTCTAAAATTCTGATTTTAAATAGACTATTTAATAAATTATTTGCTGATACAGAGACATGGTATCATTACGGCTCTAGCTATGCTCTAACCATGCAAAATTTCTCAGCTTTAGTTTATCCAGATTTAAATGAAGATTAAAAACCAGCCACCTTCCTGCTATAAATAACTCAGAACTAAGTATTTTGTAAATTGTTTTGAAATAAGGATCCTCTAGTTCCTTTACTTTCTTCTGATTACCCTCTATCTACACTTTTCTCTCCTACCCAGAAATCTATGAATGTTTTCACCTACCTAAAATTTTTGGGACGTGATGGAAAGTTTTGAGAGGGCTATCTTAATTAAAATAACCACTCATGTGTCTGTACTTGTTTAAGATCTATGAAGTGATGTCTTCTCAACAATTCTATTAGGTGAGCAGAACAAAGATTAATCCCTTCAGATAAGAAATCTGAGTGACAAGGAAGCCATGTTAACTTGGCCAATGTCACATAGCCAACAAGCATACGATCCAAGTCTCCAAGCCCACCACATTCACTTGTGTGTAGTTCCTTGTGAATCGATTGATTACTTGTCTGCTTCTGTGGATGAGATGGGGCAAGGTGACGTGGAAACTACCATTGTTAGTATGAATACGTTTCGTTATTTGTTATTTGTTTCAGATTGTGGTGTTAGAGCCACCTGAATCCCTGCCCCTTTCATTTCTATGGTTCCAGGTGGGGCGGTTAAAGGCCTGCGATGGGAAAAATACCATTTGCTTTCATTTTTACAAGTTTTAGACTTCTTCAGCTTATATTTTTAGTTTTTCCTCTCAAGCTTTACTTTACTCCCCCCAAATGCTGGCTGCTGTCCAGTAACCTCCAAGCATTAACTGTCAGTAATCAATGATCTGGAAACCATCTTAGCAATAGCAACAGGCCAATTTAGTTACTGTTCATGGACAAATAAAAATTCTTATGCTGCATATGGGGAAATTTGCATAAACTGTACAGGTCAACTTAAATTCTGAAGAAAGACAAAAAACACAGGTTTTCATATATATGGAAACTAGAACCTTTATCAAAGTACTTGATTCTATAGTAAGTGGTATTAAGATGTTTTAATTAAGCAATATCCTTTGTTTTTGCAGCAGCCAAAAGAAATTTTTAAAAACATGCAAGTGTCTACAAATACCTTGTTTGATGCTTAAGTGACTTTATGTTTCAGTCCCTACAAGTGGCCAAGTGTGGATACAAGTCAATTATATTTTTCTCTTCCTCTGGGAGAAAAAAGTTACTGTTATAGAATTACTTCAGAAGGCTTTGTCCATTAAGCTATTTTCTGTATTAATATGTTGTAGTCATATAGAAATCATAGTCTAATCATTCATATTATTTGGTATTAATTTATAAATACAGATTTTCATTTTTTGTGTAGGCACATAAACAAGACATACCCTTTCTGTTTCTAATAGAGGGAGAGAGATTTGGAACAAGTTTTGTCCCATTATTCCTGTGGAAGTACAGGAAAATTTTCAGGAATACTATATAAGCCTTTCCTCCTACACACTGAGCAGTCAATCATATCTGATCCCATTTACAGCTATTTTTCCTGGTCTCATCCTGTCCTATCACCTCTTCTAACTTCCCAGCTTCTTATGCAAAGTATAGCTATAAAAAACAACTCCTTCCTTCAAGAGGCAGCACCTTTGAGCTGGGGGGAGAAATCTGAGGAAGGACCACACAGAGCATTCCTCAATCCCCAAGAAGAAACCAACTGAGGAGAGGGGAAGATATGTCAGGGGAAGCAGAATCAAGTGGAAAAAAAAAAACAAATCCTGGGGAGTACACGCGTCTGACGCCCACATCTATGATGCAGATCAATTTCCTGGAAGGCTAGAGACATGGTCAGTGAGAAATCAGAGGACTAGTTCTATCATACACCAAATGAACAAACAATTCATTTGTAACAGACCACGGAAACCCAATAGAAGCATGAGGGCATATCTGACTTCTTACAAGCTGTTTAATAATTATTTCATAAGGCATTTCTTACAGCCATTCTGCAAACTATCATTTCCAATCTAGGGAATGAAACAAACACAGTGAGACTAAAATGACCAGATCTACCTGAGTCAAAGATTGAACCCATAATGGAGCCAAGAATGGAGCCTGAGCTGCTCCCCTACCTCAACAGCTTTATAGACTTTGATCCTAAAAATGGCAGTATATTCCTTCCAAATAATGAACTGGAAAATCAGACACACTAATAGTTTGAGAGAACAATATCAATATGGCTTCCAAGGTCCTGGAATAAAACAAAGTATCTTTAAAATGTTATCATCCACTTATCAAACTGTATATAAACCTTAGAATTATAGTTAAAAATAATATCCTTTCAACATCTAATACAAGAGATATATTTTAGAAAAAAATTAAACTATTAAGTAAGAGTTTGTATTTGATTGCTTAGAACATTAATAATTCACAGACATCCCTTTTGTGTATAATATATTGACTATCAAGCAAAAAACATATTTGGCTTTTAATTTATAATCTTCACTAAGCAGGAGGTTAAATGTAAAAGTCAGAGAAATGAATGTCTAATCATCCCTTCAAAAACATTTATTAACTAATCAATTAACCCATTAATTAGAGAAAGATAATTGCTAAAATATAATTTTTTCATGGGAAAAAGAATCCATCAAAATAAAATCAATGTGTCATAGAACTACAACTTCCAAGTTTGGAGAAATTCTAATTATCCCTGACAGGAGATGTTGCTGAAACCTTTTAGATATTGTCAACAACAAGCTTCAGGGATCTTTCTTCCAAGGAGCCTCCCTTTGATAAGCAACGACTAGGCAGATAGAGGATCTCTTTTTTCAACTCATGCACTCTCTCAAGCTTTTGTGTTTCATTTTGTTTTGTTTTAGGAAAGAAGATAGTGTCCCAAACCTTCACAAGGAAGTAAAAATGATTGGCTTTTTTTTCCTACCACCCCAACTCTAGGCTACTTTAGAGAATAAATTCACTGAACATGTAAATTCCCATAATTCCTATCGATTATGTAGTACTAAATGTCTTTGAATATCTTCGATCAGTATGTTTCTTTATCTACTCTGTCTGGCCAGGCCAATGCTGTTTTAGTATAATGATTTCGAAAGTGTAGGGAAAAGTCTTCTGACGTGGCTCTATACCTCCAAGGAACTGCAGAACACCATCACTAGATAATTTTTGTTATTTTTATTAATACTGTATACATTTGCGCTTGATTCAAACCAGATCCCTCTTCTTCCCCTTGTAGTATGGCTTAACAACATTCCTATCACATAAAAAATGTCCTGGACAAGTTAGATTCCGTGGGGGTACAATACTTGGTTTCAAAGAACGTAACATTTAAGGCGAGCTTCTCTACATAAATGAGCAACACTAGGGAAATAAAACTGTTGTCCCTTTAAAAGGCCAAGGTCATTGTGATGATGGATTCTGAAGACCAGTAAGGTTTTAAGATCCTGAGGCAGTTACATATGCAGAAATTCCTTTGCATCATAGCTTTAATCCTTTTGGGGAATACAATTTTCAACTTCATTCTCATCTTTTTTTTTGAGAGTAGGATTCTGTACTCCATCCCTCCTAAATTTCTCTACAGATAACTTAACCAAAGCTAATTTGGTATTTTAAATCACTTTTAATTAAGCAAATTCACATTTTTAATGGGGAATTTTTTTCATTTTTATTCTTATTCTTGATTACGGCTTATATTCACCAAGATTTGTAGATAAAATCACAACTAGAAGTTAATTCCTTTAAGGGAGAAAGATCTAAATAATAATACTCAGAGAAGAAAGGCAAATGAGTTTCTTTTATCCCGAGGTCACATCTATTCAAACACAGCAGACTCTGATAGGCCTAAATTATTTCTAATTGATTCATAGTGCCTTGTTAGGATAGTGTTTCTATGTCCTCACTCTTCACTGGGCTGTGAAAGCTGACTGTGAAAAACTGGATCACCTAAATTGCTCGGTCACATTCAGCTGACCAGTCTAATATTCATAGCCTTAGTTAAATAAATATTGGTCATTAAGACATAAAACCATAAGCTTCAGTATACTGGGAGGCTACTACAAAAGAAATAAAACTAACAGGAATTAATAAATTTAAAAAGTTAATGACTCGAGCCAAATCAATTCAATTTTTATGCTTTTGTCCATAGGTTTGCAAAACTAGCATAAAGTTCAATTTGTTAACTTTACCAGATAAAATTTAGAAAATGCCACTTGTTACCTACAAAGTCTGAATGAAAAGCATGCCTGATTGTAGCTTTCCTCTGCTATACCAACACTTCTGAATATGATGGTTTTCCTTGTATTGTCAAGAATATCTGAATGGCACATGCTGCTTTTAATTCAAAATAGATCCCCCCCCCCCGAAAAAACTGATAAGAAGCATTTAGGATTCCTTCCATATTTGGCTTAACAAAATTTGTGTGCTTCTAAATTTTAAACATCCCCCAAAGACCCAATAAACCAAGCAAACAGCTTGCCTTCTCCAAGTGATTTAAATATTGTATAAGGCAAACTTGGAAGCAGACATCTAACTTGCATTTAAGTTTTAAAAAAGTATAAAAGCAGACAGTAAATACGGTTGAAATAGATAATTTATTTTTAAAATTTACCCAGGGTATCAAAATATCAGAAATGTTTTGGTTTCCAAAAAAATACAGCACGGCCAAATAATAAGACAATTTTTAATGATAACAAATTGTGCCTTCCACTGCCACTGCTCACTCCTTAACCATCCTGAATGTGAAGGATTTGAAATCTAGTGGTTAAGGGACAGTATTAATCTATATTGGATTGTATTTGAATATGCAATCTCCTGACCAGGATTCAGGGAATACAGATTCTATTGCTGGGTCTGTCCTTTCTTCTAAATAAGATAAGTACTATCTATTAAATCTATTAATACCTATTAAATAGAAATATCACCAGGAATGACTTGAAAAGGTTTAATATGATGTTATTCACACTCACACACATACACACTCAGCAGAATAACTAGCAAACTTTGTGATCAGTGCTATATGCTCACCCCCAGTAAAGCTATAAAGACTTTCCCCTCTCTGGATATTCCAAATGCCAAAGTGAAGTAACTTTATCATTAACTTCACCTTTCTTTAAAAAGACTCTCCGGGAATTGGAGAGCTAATTAAATCTGACTCCATGAGCTTGCTTTGCTTGTCTCTTGTGTGTCTTTAATGACCTAAACTTGGCATCTTGGCATCCCCTCCCTTCCCACCTCTGCCTCTTCTAATCCTTTGTTGTTGTTCAGTCATTTTCCATCGTGTCTGACTCTTTGTGACCCCACTGGGGGTTTTCTTGGCAAAGATACTGGAGTGGTTTGCCATTTCCTTCTCCAGCTCCTAATCCTTAGCTTCTTTCAAGGCTCACCTCCTATGGGAGGACTCCCAAATGCACTCTCTCCTCAGATCATCTTGTATTTACTTATTCTTCTGCATTCTGTATCCCTCAGTAAAATACAAGCTGTTTTGTGGTCAGGGGATGCTTTTCATTTTTTTGTTGTTGTTGTTTCTGTATAACATCACTGACCTTGAACATTTTGTCAGGAATTCTCTTCGCCAAGGCAGATCAACGACTTGTCTCTAACTAGAGGCTATGTGAGTTGCTCATGGCCACTCAGCTAATACATGTCAAAGGAAGGACCAGAACTCAGGTCTCTCTTACTCTAAGACCATCCCTCTTGGCCACTCTACCTCTCACCTTACACATAATAAGCACTTAATCAATGTGTGTCGAATTAAATTTAATTATAATATAAAGCTCTTTGATAGCAGACACAACCCTCTGTGGGACGGTGAGGCGGTGGCATCTCCCACCACAGTGGTTAACATGGTATTCAGCATGATATACAGATATATATTCAATAAATGCTTACAGGCTGACAGGTTGTCAATGGAAGGGTCATGTGAAGGTATTTTAAGCATGGGTTTTGTTGTAGATTAGATCCCCTTAGAGCGCTGTTAGTACTTTACATCTTGGCTAAGACTATACAGGTTGTGACATCGCTGATCCATAGTCTGTAGACTGAGGTGACCAATGAATATGATCTCCCCATGAGTTCAAGAATAGCTAAACACATCACTGACTACAGGTTATTGATTTGCTCTGATTTATCTTGGGAAATTGAACTGACTTCTCTGAATATCAATTTCTTTAACGTACAGACACAAATTACTGTCAAGCACCTCCAAAAACTGGGATACTAACCTATCTAAAGTTGTTATCCAAAATAAATAATAAAAATGGCAGAAAGAATTCAGGCTATGGAAATTGCTTTAAACATGATTAATAATTTTTTAAATTCAATTAGGTACCAAGACACCTAGCAGAGCTATAGGGCTGAAATGTGAGAAAGAATTTAGTAAGAGTTAATGGTTTATTATATTGTGTGGGTTTACAATATAACTTATTTTTTAAATTAACATAACATTTTTAATACCCTTTAGGGTAGAAAAAAATGGAAGCTTTGCAAACCCATGCAATGTACTAAAAAAGGTCACTTAACTGATACAGCCCTCCCCAGTAAGTCAATTCCATGCTCCCGAGCAGCTCAGTAGCGGGAGATATCACCAGCATAGAGTACCTTGAAGAGTTATTTGGAGGTGAGCCAGCCATCTGCAACTTTGGGAAATCTCTTTGAAAAAAATAAAAACAACAACAAAAAAACACAAGAAACACACAAATTTAAGAGACCTGCAAACCAGTTTAAAATTCCAAATTGAGTAACCTAAATAGGATGTTTACACACAGTCTGTTGTAAAGTAACAAATATCATTTTACCTAATAACCTCCCTCCCACAGTGTATGTATACATGCAACAACCTAATGACAGAAATAAGCTTGAACTATATATAGTAAGAGAATCGGCCTGCTCCGATTAGAAAAATAGCATGTCTGGAGACCATAAAGATGAACATGCCACAATATCATTCCATTTTGATTTATTTTCCATCTTTCATGAGTTGAACTAAAAACGGCTAGAAGCTAACTGCAGCTTGAGGCTTCATACCTGAGAGCTCAGCTTACTGACCGGGAAGATTGTTCTCAGTCAAAGTAGAGAAAGAAACCATGTTATTGATAGCAGACCAATATCAACATTACAAAATGTTTTAATTTCAAGAGGTAATTTTTCATTGTGAATTTTAAGGTGAAGACACAGATGAGTTAAAACTTGTATTTCCCTTTTTGTTTGCTAAGTGTTGAGCTGTTTGAGGTCCCTACACTAAAGACAGGAGCATCACTGAAATCTAAAGTTGTATACAGTCTTGAGTTACTGTCAAGCAAATCACCCACATCCTTCCTTGGTGGCAACATGGTGAATCTTTAACTTTAGAACTCAAATTTATAACATGCAAAAACAAATTCCTTCCTTTATAAGATCTCATTGCAGCATCTAAGTGTGTACCTTTTTTGGAGTGGAACTTCCTCATCTAGCAAATCACTGCTGTATGTCAGAAACATAAGGAAGATGGTACGACAGGTACAGCCCTACTGATGGTGACATTTGGGGCATAATCTTTGTAAGTAAGGTGAATTTTAGTGTGTATAAAGTGGATTTTTGTTTTTCCTTCTTAGAGTCTTCTTTCCCAGGATCCATAGACATAACAATCTCTAGTTTCCAAGTGTCAGATGTAAGTTCTCATGATCATGGTTGAAAACAGTTTCTCCTGCTTGGTTGCAGTGGATGTAGGGATGAAGTAATGTAAACATTGTGAGGCTATTGCAGGCAATATGCCTTCCTCATCTGTTGCCCTATAAAACGAGTGGGCACTGGTCAGTGACTGAGGACCCCCTTAGGGTGAATGCACAAGCTGGAATGCTGTGCATGCCTTGATCAGCCTCCATCAAGACTTGGGAGGGAGAATCTGTGTGTTTGCCTCAACTAGCCCCCATTGAGGCTTAAGGGGATTTAGGGGAGTGCACAAGTTATGCCTGTCTCAATTGACCCCATCGAGACAGACAGGTTATTGCCCCCCCTCTTCACGCCGGCCTCTGAAAGAAGGGTTGTTGGGGAATGCTGTAGGAGTTGGTGCTCCCATTATCAGCAAACTCCCTTTGAGAAGACCAGACTAGAATAAAGTAAGCTTATTTAACCCCTTATTGTGGCTCCATTCCTATCTTCCCGTGTGACTGGATCAAAAGCAAACCTGCTAGTGAGAGAGGTGCTAGAAGCCCTCTTGTATTTCCTACCTAAGAAAGTGTGTAGTCACAGTGTGTTCACCTGTCCAACAATCTTCCATATTCTTTTTTCCTTCTTCCATTGGTACAGAGGGTACACATGCCAACGTATGTAACCTCAGAAGGAGATGGCTAAAAGAAAGTAGCTAATGATTTAGTTAGCTAGTTGTTACATAATCAACAATTTACCTAAATTGTAAAGAAAACAAAACAAAAACAAAAACCTAGATATTATACTAGCCTCTCCTGCCCCACCTAAAATGGAAATGCTAAATAGAATGCTTTTCCTTGAAAATATTACAAGTATCTCTGATGGAGGTACTGAGGACACAATTCCCAAAATTCTTGTTCAGTTTTTGGAATCAGTAAAGAAAAATATCGTTTCTACGGGATTGCTGCTTTTTTAAAAAAGGAAAGTAAAATGGAGGGGGATAGGAGGAAGTGGGGAAAGGCCTCAAACCCAGCATATTAGGGTTGGGTACATACTAAGACTTCACCACTTGGTGGCTGAACAGTGAAAAATAAAAAAGCAGATGCATAAAGTTGTTGTTGTTCAGTTGTATCTGAATCTTCATGAGGACCCTGTGGACCATACCATCCAGAGGGTTTTCTTGGCAAAGATACTAGAGTGGTTTGTCATTTTCTTTTCCAGTGGATTAAGGCAAACAGAGATTGAGTGACTTGCCCTGGGTCACACAGCTAGTAAGCGTCTGAGGCTGAATCTGAACTTGGTCTTCCTGACTCCAGACTGAACACTCTATCCATTGAGCCACCTAGCTGCCTCATCTATGAGGTACAACTCTGTTTATATGTCTCCTTTGAAGAGGAATTTGTTAATCGTGACTATAGATGTTGCTATACAAATGTGTTGAGTGAATGAAAGGCTAGTTACTTAGCTACTAATAGCTTTAATGAAGGCAAAATATTCGACTTTTCACACAGAACGAGTCTCAATAATTAGAGTAAAAATAACCTTAATTTATGAATGTTACCTGTTCTTTCCTAGCCTGGATGCTAACCCTTGTTATGCTTCCTGACATCCACTCACTAGAAGTAATTGTAGAGTTAGGGCTGGGAGGGATCTTCAAAACCCTCATTTTACAAAGGAGGAAACTGAGGCTACAAGAGGTTAAGTGACTTGCCCAGGGTCACCCAGTTGGTGCTTTCCACTGCTTCAACAATCCATCTGCATCACCATGAATAATTTGGCTGGAGCAACCCCCGACAATAATGAATATGGATGATACTGAACTAATTGATGATGATGGGCTCCAGGTTACCTGTCATATGCTTTATGTTCCCTTTATGTAATTTAACTGAGTTTGAGATGCTTCTGAGCCAAGTAAATGGCTCCTGCAGCTCCTAAATGCATTAGGGGAACTTCCTCTGAGAAGGACTCCATAGGGCTCTTTTTGTGGAGGGGGTGCTTTTGTAATGGAAACATAAAACTGGTAAGGGAGGGAGGGAGGGAGAGAGGGAGAGAGGGAGAGAGAGAGAGAGAGAGAGAGAGAGAGAGAGAGAGAGAGATTCCATTTGATTTTCACACTATACCTTTTTCAGATTTAAAGAGGAAAAGAAACATCACAGGGAACAGAGTATATTTGATCCCCTCTCTAATTGTGTCTCTAAAGTTTCTATGCAATATCTGAGTCTAACTTTTACATTTTGACAACTTAGTTTATAAGTAGGATAGGAACAACAGATAATTGGTTGTTGTTTTTCAGTCACATCTGACTCTTCAAGACCTCATTTGAGGTTTTCTTGGCAAAAATACTGGAGTGGTTTGTCATTTCCTTCTCTAGCTCATTTTACGTTTTATAGAAACTGAGGCAAACAGGGTTAAGTGACATGCTTAGGTGACAGGGTCACACAGCTAGTAAGTATCTGAGGCCAGATCTGAACTCAGGAAGATGAGTCTTTCTGACTCTAGGCCCAGCAATCTATCCACTACATCACTTAGCTGCCCTCTAGCTAATTGGTAAAGGCAAACAGAATTACCTTCTCATAAATGAGGCCAGTAATCCTGCTATATGTGGGACATGTTTACAATTTTATCTCTAAAGGTCATTAACACAAATCGTCACAAGCGTTGAAATAGGAACATACAGTGAAATATGGTTACTCTAAACCATAACAAATTTGCTTTCAAATTGCATATGCAAATTATGTATGAGAGATCAAAAATATTCAAACATTTATCAACTTCCTGGGTACATTGTCACAAAGGGCTTTGTGAAGTCCTTTTATAGAGGAAGAAACGGAGTAGAATCCTAGATGTAGTGTTAAAAGGACCTTAGACGTCAAAGGGCCCAACTCTCTCATTTCCCAGATGAGGACATAAGTGTTAAGCAGCAGAGTCAGGATTTGAGGTCAGACTCCAGGACTAAGTCTTTAAAGTTTGAGTTTGTATGCACAATGTTTTCTTGTTTGTTGATGTGAAATAGGGTGAACCAACAGGATAATTACCACCAAATGAAACACTTATTTTAAAAAGAAATATAAAGCTTTTCATCCACTCACAACTGCTCCATGTGTAATTCTGTGCTCTCAACTACTTTCAAAACTTGGAGAACATGGTTATTTTAAAAGATATGGACAATAAAGGATATATATCTACATGCATATATATACACATAGACACACAGACATTTATATGTCTGCATACATATACAGTGCCGTGTGTACACGTACGCGTATACATACACATACACACACATCAATTCTTGATCACCATGAATAGATAACATTGGGCAAATAATACATTTCACTGAAAGTAACCAATCCTAGTAGCTAGAATTTATATACTTCCTTAAGGATTGCCTAGCACTTTACATATGTTATTTCATCTTAACCTCGAAGCAGCCACGGGAGGTAACAGATGGGGAAACTGAGGCACAGAGAGGGTAAATCACTTGCTCAGGGTCACGGAGCTAGCAAATGTCTAAGGCTGAATTTGAATTCAGGTCTTCCTGACTCCAAGTCCAGCGCACTGAATCACTTAGCTGAGTTAAAAACGAATAGATTTTCACTTTCAAGTCTCTGGTAAAGTAGCTTATGATAATTCAGTTTTTCCTGATGGAGAATCTGCTACCCATAACAATGTGACATTTATTACTTGTGTGACTCTTAACCAAGACCCTCCTGGGCTTCGGTTTCATCATCTGGAAAATGAGCTTGGGAGCTTCTGAGGCCCCTTCCAAGTCTAGCTCGATGAGGTTTTAAGACTACTTGTAAAGGGTTTTGAACTAGACAGTTAGAAATATAGAAATAAAATTATCAGAGAGAGGCACAAATTTGGGCAACTGATGGCCTCAAAAAGAAACTAAATGTGGCCTTTTACTGATGTCACAAAAGACTTACTCATTTGACTCACAGATTCAAACACAGTTTTAACTAACACTAAACAAACAAAACCCTAAAGATAACAATATATTCCCTTAAAGAAAATAAATATAG